GTGTGTGTGTGTGTGTGTGTGTGTGTGTGTGTGTGTGTGTGTGTGTGTGTGTGTGTGTGTGTGTGTGTGTGTGTGTGTGTGTGTGTGTGTGTGTGTGTGTGTGTGTGTGTGTGTGTGTGTGTGTGTGTGTGTGTTATAAGAGCAACAGCAATCGTGGAATGGCCATGGAAAGTAACACCTTGCAGGTATCGGTGACCCAAAGTCTGTCAACACAACAAAATGAAGCAGACGCACACATACATGCAGGCACAATGCAGACGCAAGAATGAGACGTGGGTGAGCAACAAATGGTTGGCAACAGCAAGCAGATCGCAACACAAACAGTTGAGATCAACAGATGGCGGTGGATGGAGCACGTACCGGTTGATGGGACAGCACCGTCGGCTGTGAAGCGCACGAACAGCAGGGGATTATGTGCAATGCATGAGGGTGTTGAACCAGACGGCAGCCGCGCACAAAACAACCGTGTACAAACACAATTAAACACACAACATACACGCGCACACACGTACACCGCACACACTTACACAACACACGCAGACGCTACGACTACGCACATGCATCCACACGAATGAAACCACACGCACCGGACGTTGACGGGGACTGGGAAGGAGCGAGGTCGCTGCTGCGGAGAAGGGATGGCGACGATGCACGACCTGATGCACGCGCACATACAGGTTGTTCGCATTCATTGTTATGTGTTCTGTTGTGTTGTGTGTGTGCGTGTGTGTGTGTGTGTGCGTGTGTGTGTGTGTGTGTGTGTGTGTGTGTGTGTGTGTGTGTGTGTGTGTGTGTGTGTGTGTGTGTGTGTGTGTGTGTGTGTGTGTGTGTGTGTGTGGCAAGTTTGCGCGGTGTCATGTCGGGGAACTCAACGACAGCCATTTCATTCGCTCGTCACCTTTGCCGCCGTCACGTGAGTCGTACGATGGCGACAGCAAGTCCGCTGCAGTACACGGCACACACACACACACATGCACACGAACATGCGTGCATGCGTGTGTTGTACACGGTGAGCATGCGTTCATGAAGCGGTGATGATGGATGCCATCAACAAGTTCATGGACTTGATCACACGCATAGATGCAAGCACGCACACGCACACACGCACACACGCGCACATGCACACGCACATACGCACACGCACACACGCACATGCACACACGCACACCTGAAGCGTCTAGCGTTGTTGCTGCGTATGCGCCCATGCTGCTCTTCTTCGATTCAGGCTCCAAGGCCCTGTCATGTCACGCGGGTACACAGACGCACAGATGTGAGCCATGGCGTGCGCAATGGCGTGCACGTGTACCAACGCGTGCGTGCGTGTGACAACGTGAGTGTGACGCTGGCGTCGCAGGTAAGGTTCATCTCGGATGCATGCAGACACGCCAATGCAGTCGACTGCACACCACGCTCACAGCGTCGACGGCATCGACATGAGCACCTCATCACACAACACCACCACACGCGTACGATGGCTCTTGCTCCGGGTGCAAGCGTTGCATAACGCGTTTGTAGAGTTCGTTGCACGGGGGTGTGAATACACGTTGAAACGGCACGCTCTCCACCCATGCACCGTCAACCAGCCCTGTTGGATGTGTACGGATGGGTACGTGTGTGTGTGAGTGTGTGTGTGTTGTGTGTTGTGTGTGTGTGTGTGTGTGTGTGTTATGTGTGTGTTATGTGTGTGTGTTGTGTGTGTGTGTGTGTGTGTTGTGTGTGTGTGTGTGTGTGTATAAGGCAGGTTAGAGGGCGAGCGAGAGAGGTCGACAGACAGACACACAACACAACACAACACAGACAGACAGACAGACAGACAGACAGACAGGCAGGCAGACAGACAGGCAGGCAGGCAGGCAGGCAGGCAGGCAGGCAGGCACCAGCGTGTTTGCTCAGCTCCGCGTGTGCTCCAGCTGTCGGATATGGCGCTGATGAGAGCCCCACAAGCAGAGAACCGTGTACACGAGGTCTTGTGAGCAGAGAACCGTGTACACGAGGTCTTGTGAGGATGGAACAACACACCACGCGTGCCAGACGGATGCCAATGTGTGAAGAATAGTCACAGGCAAACACACACACACACACACAACACACACACACACACGCACGCACACACACACACAGGCAAGGGTGCACATACCTCGAGAGCTGCCGTGTACTTGAGGTTCACGGCTAAAGCACACATGAGTGGCGCAGTAAGCTGCTCGTACGCATCCTCGAGCGTGCCGCGCTCCAGCGTCGTCTCCCAATGCAGCTTCACGCGCGCAGATGTCACCGTGTCCGCAGTCAGCGTGAGCGACCGGAATGCCCAGCCATCCCCGCCACTGCTCTCGTTGACGGGGTCCTCTTCCTCATCCTCATCATCGTTGTTGCCACCGCGACCGCCATGAGCATCTGCGAACGTGTGTCTGCGAAGGCGGTACGTGGTCGTGCTGGTGTCCCCGCCAAAGATGTTCTTGGACAGGATGCTCAACAGGCTCTGCGTGTTGATCTCCACGCTGGGGTTGAACCTCTCATTCAGCGCAGCAAGCTCGCTGCGCGCGTGCACGGCTGTCCACACGTGCCGCCCATCTGACAGGTACACGAACAAGTGCGAGCCCGTGACGCCGTGCTTGATCAGGTACTGCGCCCGCTTGTCTTCGTCATCGCCTGTGGCGCGTGCGTTGGCGCCATTGCCAGTGTGGTGCAAGTATTCCCCATCATCGTCGTCGTCGTCGTCATCGAGGTCATCAAAGTCGGGGACCGATGGCTGGTGGCTCGTCATCACCAAGGAGTCATCGTGCCTGCTCTTCCTCCGCCGTAGCGATCGCCGGCCCTCCTCCCGCGTGCACACAATCCCATGCCACGCATCCATCGTCGTGGTGTGTTGTGGTTGTTGTGGTTGTTGTGGTTGTTGTGTTGTGGTCCTTCTTTCACTGTATGTAACGGTTCGTGCTGCCTTGCTTATGTTTACTGAGGCAGTTGAGTTGACAAGACAAGACAAGCAAAAGCAGGACAAGAAGCAGCCAACAGAGTGGCGCTGGTTCACTGTCCCCGCCCTCCTGCGTTTCGTCCTCGCCCCCGCCTAGCGCCGGTGTTGCTGTTGTTGTTGTTGTTGTTGTTGTTGTCACGCAGCAGCTGCAGCACAAGCAGTGGCATGAGTGAGTGTGTGTGTGTGTGTGTGTGTGTTGTAGTGTTTGCTCGCATGCATGGCATCACACGCGCTGCACGGTATGGCCTCCTCCTCCGCCCTTGCTTCTCCTCCTCTCCCTCCACACCCGTTCCATCTCACCTCTTCCAGTTCCTCTGGCTGCAGGTCTGCCATGTAGTCCGGATCCACCTCCACATCACCACCAGCATCGCCACTACCATCATCATCACCACCACCATTGCCACCATCATCGCCTTGGCGCTGCATGTAGTTGGTCAGTGAGCGCGTCAGCGACGTTGCAGCCTCTCGCGCCCGGTCAAACACCTCCCGCACACGCACATGCACTTGTTGCCTGGCATGTGTGTGTGTGCGTGTGTGTGTGTGTGCGTGTGTGTGTATGTGTGTGTGTGTGTGTGTGCGTGTGTGTGTATGTGTGTGTGTGTATGTATGTGTATGTGTGTGAGGAGGGGCATCGGCGAAGTAGCAGAGCAGAAACGGCAAGGGAGGGCAGTGCACAAGCGGCCAAAGCATGGTGCGCAAGAGACAACTCCAAAACACGCGGTTGAGAGCGGACCTTGCTTCGGCCATGCGTTGTTCGTCCTGCTCCGTCGCTTCCGCTGAACGGAACACGCGCGCGCACGAGGTAGTTGGTGGTAGCGGAGGAGGGGGGGGGGTGTGTGCCATGGGTGAGAGGGAATAGAAGAGAGGGGCGGCGCCGAGGACTGACATGATGACACACACATACACACCCCGCACACACGCTCACACACACACACACACACACACACACACACACTCACTCACTCACTCACTCACTCACCGTTGAAGTTTGGGTTGAAGCTCTGCAGGAATGCGCGCCAGGGTGCAAGTGCATCACCATCACCGCCACCATCACCGCCGTTGCCATGGCGACCACGGCGGGTTTGTCGCATCTCCTCCTGCTGCTGCTGCTGCTCGTACTCGTTGCTGCCGCCCCAGTCAAGGCGATGGACAAGGGAACAAGGAAAGCAACAGCAGAACGTGCGAGAATGAGCGTGACAGAGAGATTAATTGTCTGCGTGCGTGTATGTTTGAGGGTGGGCGTTCGCGTCTGTCTTCATCAACCACCACCACCACCACCAACATAGCGTACATGCCGTCAGGGGGTGGCATTGGGTCGTGTGCAAACGTGGTGCCGTTCAGGATCGCCGGCGGCAGCAGCGCCACCGTGCTCTGCAGTGACGACGCGCGCATGCAATGTGGCATTTGCCACGTCCATCATGGTCACGGTGAACAAAGGAGAAAACAGAAAGTAAGCTTCGCCGTACTGTCTCTGTGTGTCTGTATGTGTGCGTCTGTGTATGTGTGCATCTGTGCATCTGTGCGTCTGTGCGTCTGTGTGTCTGTGTGTCTGTCTGTCTGTCTGTCTGTGTGTGTGTGTGTGTGTCTGTGATTGATGTCGAACCTCGATGCCAGACATGATGACGTGTCGCAGGATGTTGATCGGCATGTGCGGAAACTGCTGCTTGCGCCTGAACACACACACATACATGCACACGCACGCACGAGCACATACACCACAGACGCGCACACGCGTACGTAAGTCATGATCACACCTTCAATCACCGCGGTGTGAGCAGGTCAAGGTACACGGCGGGCTGAATCAAACCCGCAACACCAACAACACACCAGCGAAACAGTACCACGACCGCTGCCACCCATCTCGACACTGCACACCATCATCATCATCATCACCACCACCATCAGCAGCAGCACAAGCACAGCTGCGCACCATTCAGCAAGCTGCTCTGTCTCCTGCTTTGCGCTCTCGTCCGATTCCATCTTGGCAATCACAGCGGCAGCATTGTTCTGCACGCGTGCAAGCGAAGCAAAACACATGGTCGCCGTGTACGACCGGGATTGATGAGGTCACGTGCACACGTGTGTGTGTGTGTGTGTGTGTGTGTGTGTGTGTGTGTGTGTGTGTGTGTGTGTGTGTGTGTGTGTGTGTGTGTGTGTC